GTGATCTTGTATACATACTACATACAACTTTATTTCACAAATTATGTTTATAGTGTTAGTGCCATAAATGATAAAAAAGTTTATTTATAAACGTTACAGAAAAATTTTGAGTAAAACGAATAAATTTAGGGAAACTGAAAAATAAACGAGCAACTGCAACGTGCACATGCACTAAAGAGAAAAAAGGCCCATTATCGCGATACGCGTAAGTGGATAATAATATGCACCTTGGAAGTACGATATGGCAAGCGACGAGACTTTAATAATCGATAACGAGCCGATGAAGTAGGGAGAAGTGCCAAAAGAAGTTCCCTTCTCTTTCCGTTTAGATTTGTTGTATGTATGTAGCAAAATAATGCGTGGTGGTCAAGGAAATTTTCAAGTGAGCTGAGAAAAAATTTTTCTGAGCTATGTAGGTACACTGAACGACTATGTTGATGTTTCATAATTTTTTAAAAATATGCATGTTTGATAAGAAATGAGATTTTATAGTGCAAAATTATTTTCTCAACTATAAATCATGTATTGTGCAACCAATATAAATCAGTAAAACAACTTTAAATCAATAACTGTGGATTAACTCCAATTTACTTAGATAAAGTGCTCGCAGAATCGAGCTGGAGGAGATCCGGGATTTCCCATACATTTTTTTTCATTCTTTAATCATCACCTAGTAAGCAATATTATATATGCTTTTAAAAAACTCTGTACTCTGACCTTGACGATAAAAACAAATTTTTTTTTACTTGACATGCCTTTTGCTTTTCTACGTCTTTCTTTTACCAACCGCAGAAAATCTTGCAACGTACGAGCTCAGCTAGCAATAAAATAGCCAATAATAAAAGATCGTATCACGCCAGCGGAAGCCATTCGTGGTTAGCTAAGACGAGTTCTGATATTTTCTGTTTAAATGTGCGCATGTGGAAAACCCCAGATGCTGCAATGAGCTTGATAATTTTTGATAGATCAGGAGATATAGGATGAAATACAGAGATACAATTTTTCGTCCTTTTGTACTATTGTTCGAGAGGCTCGTTATATATGCACGTGTAAATAAGAATTTACTTCGCATTTTTTGTTCTGCTATTGATCATGTACTTAGTAGTTTTCATTACGACTTTTCATCCCATAGTTTTCCGGAAAAGTTTTAATGTTTTGAGTAATATTTTTCCCTATTTTTAACAATGGCAATAATGAAACAAAAAGATAAAAAATGAATCAAACTGATAAAGTTAATAAACTATTTTCTGTTTGCAGTTTTCATTGAGTCAACGAGCCATGAAGAAGCAACATACAGAATTCTCACAACAGCATAAAATATATATTATTTTAACTATGTACTTTTGTCACTCAATATAGGAAACACAGTAATAGCATTGTAAAGGGTGTTTCAGGAGGATCGTATGTCCTTTTACAAAATAAAAAAAACTAGACTCAATTGTAAATCCTCGTACAAGCATTTACAGAAAATCTTCTGAAATCCGTTAATCGCTCCATCTCTCCTCCGCAGCTGTCTCGTCGAACCTATCCCCAAATCCTTTTCGTCTAGCTCTTTTTTTGAACCCACCATCTCTGGCAACTGGCATAGTTGCATTTTCTAGAGTCTTGGGAACAGCAAAACCCGTGACGGTGTTGTCATGTTAATGCACCGTACTCCAGATGCACAGCCTAGATAAGATTGAGAAAGGACTGCGCAGAAGAATTTGGGGGGGGGGGTAGGAAAACTAGTTTGGAAAAACATGCAGTCAGTGTGAGTTTTTCTCTCGCCCTTGGTGTTTGCAGTAGTTTTACTTTCCTTAAGGAGAAATGACGTGGAAAACGAGGGATGTGTGTTTTTTATTTATATTCTGTGTTGTGGTTCTTACAGTGCAGGGTAAGTGAAATTTTTTCGATAAATCAAGCCTTGACATGAAGGGCCTCCTGTGACCCCGGCTTCGTCTACAAGGTACTCATTAAGAAGTTACGTTCAATTCGACAGTACTCAAAGAATATACGCAATCAATTAGGCACGTAATATTGACAGACGTTCTTTGGATTGCCAAAATTTAAAAAGCTACAAGGTAAAGGGACATTTTTTTTTATTCACAAATAATCGTGTGAAAAAAAAAACATCCCCTACACGTGCAGCCTCGCGGCATGATGCTTTTTCTTTATAAATTGCATCCCAAAATTTTCCTATTTTTTTTCTTTGTAATTCTCATTTAAAATTTTGTGCTTGCATTTTTAAAAGATAAATGCATACTGTATGTAGCATTGAAAAACATTTTGGGTTTCAAGAATTCGCAACACACTTTTTTTTAGGTTAGATATTTTTTTCGCAAAATACCATCGTACTTATCAACTTTTGGCAAAAAACTGTGAGAAATTAGACAGTCTGTGGTATACGTCTGTATATTTTTTGACGATTAAATATTCTTGGGGTTTTAACGAGTTGAACGTGACTGCGTGATAAGCGCCATGTACGGCTGTGGCCACAAGAGTCCCCTTAAGGTAGTTCACGTCCTGAGCACCGTAACAACAGGTGACGAAGCTCAGCTTATCAGACAAAAGACTCAATTTATCAGCTCATAGTCTCAGAAGGGCTATAAAGCTTTGAGGGTCATGTTTAATTGCCTATAATTTGTTTCAAGAATTTTATCAAAATTTGATCATTTTAATTTTTTGTGGTGAATTTCCTCAAGTAAAGATTATATTTATTGGTAATTCTTAATGAATGATTTTATACAGGTAAAGCAATAAAAAGAAACGGAAAAACACTGTGTACTGCGCAACATGGACAATTAAAATCTGTTGGGATGCAATTTCAAGCTCCGCAGGATTGGCAAAAATTTTATCAGGTTTTGCCATTACCTTATTTACCGGTAATACCTCGTATTCCTATTTTTAATGAGAAAGAAATATTTGGCCGTTTGGTTGAAAAAATCGATAACTTGGAAAATGGACAGAGACGCATTGCAAACTTACTTCGTAAACTCAAAGGTACATATTTTTGATTATTCATCATTTTATTTACACAAAAATTACGATGGAAAAACTCATTTGTGCTATTCGGTTAAAAATTTCACTAGCAAGAAAAGTATTTTTTTTCTTGGCGGCGTCTTGATTTGTACTACATAAAACTGAAAAATCGTTTCAAGTCTTGTAATGAACTCAAGAAATACGTTGCTTAAATCGCGAAAATGGTATATTATTCACATGTTATAATATCTTGGTACATTTTTTTTTCTCATAGCCATAAGTCACAAATTTATCAATAAAAAATCTTACGAAAAATGTCCATTCAGTTGAAATTTTTGGGCGCTCGAACACCGATCAGAAGCAGTTGGCCCAAGCGGTCTCTGAATCCTCGACATTAGCAGCACTGCTACAGACTGTGGAAGTAACCACCGATGATCCAATTGAGGAATCATCGGAATACACGACAACATACGGCAGTACGGAGCTCGAGTTCAATGACCACGAGGCGAAAACTTCGACAACACCGGCCAAGGACGATGAGGAGAGGACGGAGATCCCTGCCAATATTGATATTGGCCATTCCACTATAAACTACGATGAATCTAACGATATGGGCGTAACTACTACTGTGACTCCTGTTACAGTTCAACGGCGAAATTTTGAAAATGATGATGGCCATTCCAATGAACGGAATGACGCAATAGACCTTCCTCTAATAATACGTCAGTTTTGAAGGATAATTTGTGTAGAGTTGGAACTTAATTCGAAAGTATACATATCATAAATTTCAATGAACGAGCTTATAACTGTCTCGAATAGACGTACGTTTCGAGTGTGGGAAACTCTATTGTTTATGTCTCAAATAATGTCAAAATTATGTGTTGTCCAAAAAAAATGACAAATTAGTTTAAGAAAGAAAAAAAAAGTTTGCTTGTTGTAGTACATAAACATTTCTTCTTCGTAATTTTCAGGATGTATCATTTTTTATCGTCAAATAATTAAATATAAAGTTTACATCCCATGAATGTTCAAATAGTGCCTATTTATTAACCTGGACCAAGAACTGCACATTGTTTCCAGAGGATTCCTATAGTAACTGTAACATTACGGGTTTTACCGAGAGAGTCCGAGTAATGCAAAAAGTATTTACTATACATTCGTTTCGCAACAGCCTTACGAGCAATTAACAATTTATTTTGAGCTTGTTTGCCTTGAATGTCACGTCTTCTTACATGATTTTCACGAATCTAATACTATACAGAAATCATCTTTTTTTTTTCATTCAATACCGTTGAATCGTCTTTCGAAACACAGTAAAAACTTTTTCCACATCCGGATCATCGTCCGACAAATCAATGCGAGAAAACCGCGAATGGACGAATCGTACAAACACACCTCCCACCCAGAAAGTATATACGCACGCGAGAGTTCCAAATAATCGTTACTCAATCGACGAATAACCTTAGCCCAGTCTGTGGAGGTAAGCTCACCGGGATTTCTCAAGGACGCGATCGGCCGCATATACATATATACATATCTATCGACTTGTATAATACGCGCGCGCACGAGTTCGCCTCGCACATGCGGAATGTAAGTTTTCCCGCTCGAGCGTACGTGGGTAATAGATACCGCGCGATCCTTTAACAAGACACTCACAGCAGTGGACTGCTGTATAGCGCTCTCATCATCGCTTGGGATTTCCCGAGTTTTGTGGCCAACGAGTGTAAGCGTGTACACTGCATTTTGCGAGCACCGAGAGTCCGGGTAATCGTGCATATGTCGAGTTCGATAGCACGCCAGGACATTGCTGCTACATTATAAATATGGGTCTGACAATGAAGATTGCGCCGATGACGAAAGCGAAAGGAGGCGACAGTGGGGCTGGCGCGTGGGCAAGTGGAGTTAAACGTATACCAGGAGGGAAGCACAACCGATTCGCCTACCGGCCATTCGGACGGGTCGGCGATGTCGTCTGTTGCCGGCAGGCACGAAGTAGAACGCCGCACGCATGGCAATCGGGGGACTAAGGTCGATCGCACTCTTTAAAAAAGGGATGCCGAGACTCGTCGGCCGTCAGATTCGTTGAGATCATGGCGCGCAACGATGTGCTGTGCCTCCTCGCTTGTTGTTTATCCGTGATTGTGCACCTGGCCCGATGCGGTGAGTGTATATACCCTTCAGTTGTACTCCCTGTGATTTTTTACTGTACACATGTTATACTCGTAGGACAAATGGTTTTGTTAAACGAGAGTAGTTTATGGTGCGATGGGTTGTTGCAAGGGAAGCTGGAAAAAAAAACTGTACTCCGATCGGTCGGATTACACGAGTACTGTTATTATACTTTTATTCTTGTTTGAGTAAGCGGCTAGTCCAATTTCGTGCGATGAAGAATAATAAGCGTAGCACTGATTCTTTTCGGGCGATAAAAATACCTCGTTAATCATCTTTATTTGTATATCTACTCGCCTGGGAATAAGTACGCGAACAAAATTATCATTGTTCAGCTCATTTGGATCTCTCATCGTGTTTAAAGAACTCGAAAGCCAAACAATTTTTTCGGCTAAACAAATTTTTGAGTTTCTTTAAGCCTAGATGGAAAACTACGTTTTTTTTTTTTAACTCAACTGTAACAATTAACCAAAAGTCCGAAGCGCATTTCAACAAGTGGGGTACAGTAATTGCTGTTTTCAAAAACGCAAAATGCATCCCCTTGACGTCTCGGGGCGAAATTTTCTTTTCGAGCTCATAAAAACCGTAATAAGCGACCAAACAAGCAAAGGGCAGGGTGAACGTGCACGAGAAACGAGGTGTCATAAAACATTTCGGGCTACTAAAAAAAAAAAAAAAAAACCAGTTTCTTCCTGCGCATAAACACATTGTAAGCCCATTCGTGCTACCAGACGCAACTGGGATGATGTCAGCTCCGGCATTGCGTGTTTACGCGTGAGACGAAACGTGCAATTCACGTTCGACGACCTTGCTCCTCCACGCCACAATAGAATTTTTGCACTCGCATAATGGAGCAAAAATTTCACGGGGAAATAAAAGTTCCGCAACGTGTGGGATTCATACACTTTTTTTTGCTCTTCCCTAATCAACAATCACGTCCTCTGTTTGCAAAAGTAGTCCAAGGTCTCTTTTATGTATCTTTGATCGCACGCAAGTCCTTCCAATCCTAGAATCAGTAGTAATTCCTTAAAAAGCATAAAAAGTACCCTCCTTCGCATACGATTACTTTCCATTTCCAACCAACAATATCTCACCCCCCAGATGCAGAAATCCTTCGAAACACACCGCCACAGCTCGGCCCTGCCGGACAACCCGGTGGCGATCAGATCCAAGGAAGGTTCTTGCCTCCCTTCTCGGCCAGCTTCTCACTAGGTGCCGGCGACAACGCCCACTCGTTCAGCGTAGCCGGCGGCCCCGACGGCATCGGCCTCTCGCAGAGCTCCTCCCACGGAAACCCCGAGTAAGCTTACCGTTATGTCATCCTTTGGCTTCACGTGTGTAGGTACTGATCGGTGCATATCCTCGAAATTGCAGCTACTCGTCGAGCCAGTCGTCGTCCCTGGCTGCCGGGCTGAGCGGCATCTCCGCCTCGGACGCCAACGCCGTCTCCGCCAACCATCCGGTGTACGGGCCGAGCGCCCACGCGAACGGCAACTCCTTCTCCCTGGGACAGGCGTCGTCGGCGGCTCACGGCGACGTGGTCAACGGCCAGGCTGTAACCGGTGCCCAGTCCTCGGTCGGCTCCACCCACACCCAAGCTGCCTCGAGCGCCCAGAACCACGTGCAGCGGCCTGGGAGACCGGCTTGGACCAACGCCCCACCGAGCTACGCCACTGGAAATCCAGGTCCATACATCATTCGTGCCACAGTGGACAAGAAAGGAGCTAGTCTGGATAAATGTCAAACTACCCCTTTTTTGCCAGCAACAACAATACATTCGCAACTGCACCTCATCGTGCCCATTTGTTACACGGTCAATGAAACGGTGGTGCTCTTCTGTACACAGGCTACGACAACTACTACCACCAGAACTCGAACCGCAAGCCAGCCATCACGATCAGCGTGAGCGACCAACCGAACCGATACGGTCCGCGGCCCAGCGGCGGTTGGTACGAGGTACCGGGCAGCGATGGGAACTCGGGTCTGCCGGAACTGTGCCGCGACAGCTGGTACAGGGACCCCCGGTGCAGGGGGCCCCGAGTGGTGGTGAACAAGCCCGAGTACGGTCACCAGCGGCCCTACTTCGAGACCAACCGAGACCCGAGGGAGGGCGTGCAGCTCGCGGTCGGGTCTTCCGCTCAGTCCGGGGGATTCTCCATCGGCCAGTCGTCGCACCTGGGCAACGAGTAAGAAACCTCTTGTTTCTTGGTTTGGAAATTCCTCCACTTCGGGAGCTGTAGAGGTAAATCCTTGTTGCAGGAATCGAGGCCCGGGCTCGTTGACCGTCAACCAAGTCCAGACGTCCGGTGGTGGCCAAGCTCAGGCCCAGGGAAGTTCGGGTATCGGTTCGGGCTCGAGCTCCGGCTCGGTAGTGGCGAGCTCGCGTCCCGGTGGCTCCTCACAGGGGGCGAGCATGAGTTCGGTTTTGTTCCCGGGGCCCAGCTCTCACTCGTTGCAGCACTCGAACGTGCCCCCGGAGTTCGTGAGGAGCGGCAAGAAGTTGAAGAGCCACAAGAAGAGGGACGAGCAGGGTCCGATCGAGGAGTTGCTTGCCCATCTGTCGGATACGATTCACGACGTTTTTGATTACTGATGGTTTCATATGGGCGTGACAGTGCGTCTGTGGGTTCATCGCTTTCGATTGGCCGTCACAGCTGAGCTTGCGAAGCTTGTTGTTTTGTGTGAAGCCGTTCCCATGTAATTTTGAAGCGGGTGAGAGTTGAAATTGACGTTTTAAGGTAGATTATATAGGCATCGCGAAGACGTATCAAGTATTACTTAATTTAAATTGTTTGTGAAGCATCACGCATGATCTTGCGGAGTCTTTGTAGTTGTTTTTTTTTGTATGTGTGTGTATGAAGCTCAATCTTTTTGTAACAAATATCACAATATATTTTTCATCCAAGTGTCCATATGTAGGTAGGCAATAAATCATAATGTGAAATATTTCAAAAAAGTCCTTTTTGCTAAATCATTTTGACAGTCGCAGGAACTATAAAGTTTACAAAAACAACAGATTTGAGATCTTTTATCGACTTAAACAAGATAGCCGTTGCAATGTATAACCATCCAGAGGAATGGAACTTTGAAGGGAAATATATGGAATAAGTAAGTATACAAAAACTTATAAAGCACTTATCGAAGTGAAGGTTGAAAAAGAGACCTTGAACACAGCTCACGCGAAAGCGACATCTCTTTACAATTCAAAGAAGAATGGAGCTGAATAACCAGAGAGTTCCGCAGAGATCTCACGTACCAACGATGGATTTGTATTTTCTATCTACAGTGGGTACATTAAATTTTAAAATAATAATTAATTGCAAATTTATTCATGCTTAAAATGACCACATTTTATGATAAATTACTTCAATCGCGTCACTTTACTAATAATTATGTTTTCTTTGATCGCGCTCGAACCGCACAACAAAAATAGTCCATTATAATGTCAAAGATGTTATCGGAGATGAAGAATTAAATTTTTTTTTCATTCACTATACGTGAAGATGTACACCGGTGTAGCGAAGGTTGCGGAGAAGATGCTTAACGTCGTGTGTAGAAAATACACACCAAGGATGAGATAAACGCAAGGATCTGTTGTGATTGTTCGCGGAAAATAACAGTGTTATTTAATATTACTTTGTTTTAATTTGGAATCCAATTGTACGAAGAAAGTGTTTAAGGCCGTAATGAAAGTAGCGAGAAAATTTTAGAAAGTGCCGGCAGTTCCTCGCGAATCAGTAATTACCAAAGTGTTTTTATACCAAATGAACACCCATTTCGTTTAAAAAGCTGAACAAAAATTAATGCCATCGACCCCGAAAAAGTATTAAACTGTATTTTAAACGATTAAGGGATTCAAAAATATTTTTTTTCATCCTTGACTTGTGTAACATTTTTTAACGACATTTTTAACGAACCCAAGAAATTTTTAAAAAATCAGCACCACTATTTTCCTCTTTGGTCGTCTCCGTAGAAGTACAAACCATGCAATCTGTTTTCCTCGTTGCGATGCGTATTAGCGATTGCCACTCTCTAAACTTCCTCTGTTCTTATATTATATACATTTGTACCGTTCGACCTAACTTAATTACGTTGATACGGGCACATCGCACACTTGATGTTTTCTTATAAGGATAAACTGGAAAGATGATCGGATGACAATGGACACCATGACCGTTCGAAGCGTGTAATTGAACATCTTGTAAAACTGGTTTTCTCCGTGTACTCTTTATTTAGACGTTAATTAAATTAACGTATTAAGACATCAGCTAGTAGAGATGTGAATGTCCATACGGAGTTTTTAGCAAAATATAAATTTACGTTCATTTCTGGACTAAGAGTAGTACATAATAAAATTTGAGTCAAACACGTAAGCAGTAACGCTATACACCTTATGCTAGTACAGTGTGCACATAAATAAATATAAACTAGATATACTTAGTCTATTGAAGTGCTGAGCGTAAAGGTCAAAGTCAAAGGAAAATCCAAATGATGAGCATCTTAACTAGGATTTTATTAAAGAATAAGGTGCCCGGCAACGAAGAACGATTAGTTATTGTTTTTTGCATCGTAGGGGATTTCCTTGTCAGAGTACATACAGGTACATACATATGTATGTATGTAAGCATCGCGTCGCGACTGGTTACACGCACCAAGAATACAAGTACCCATTAGAGGAAGCGCGTTTGCTGGTGTGTCTATGAAATATATATATAAGACATGTAAATATGCAATTTTATCTGTTGGTACGTCATTGAGCTGGAATAACAACGTATATAGAAGGAGACCGATCTAATGACTTGGCTTTTTAGAAAAAAGATACCAATGTGTACTTAGTAATTTTTTTTACTTTAGAAACGTCCCTTTTTTAGAAGAAGATAACGCTCGGGTGAAAAACACTTTTAATCGCACTTAAATAATTTCAACAACTGTGTAAAAACCTTATTAACTTATCAAAGTGACCATAGTTAGACGTTCAGTTTGATTACACAGTACTTAACGAATTTTCCACTTCTCATATATATATAAGTAAAGTGGCACACGCAGCTACGAACGTTTGATTACATTACATTTTATAATTACATCGACTAGGGACTCGAGGTCCATAATAGCCATAAATTAGGTGAAGCACAAGAGTACAGCCAGACCAGCTAGTTCTACTTAACAATATAAGTAAAAATCTTGAATTACATTGGGGAAAGAGAGAGAGAGAGAGAAACAAAGAAAAACAAGGAACGAAAAACTTTGTCGAGACTGGCTTTCAAGGGTGATAGTAAAGAAAAACCCAGTATAATTTAGATCAGAGAGCGATTTTGTCGGTAGCTATACTTACAACGTGTGTGCCCTTTTGTTAGTCTTTTTTTTTTTTTTTTAGACGCGGGTGGGTAGATGGTACGTAGAATATCTTCGAAAGATGATGATGAAACAATGCGAATGAAAAAGGTGTCCAATAAAATTAACGGGCGGACGAGAGAAGCAGTAAAAAGATAAGAATATATGTGTTTTTTTCACAGCACATTGTTCTTCCGGTTACCGCTTGGCTGCTGAGGGAATTTTTTACGCATATTTATACGTGTTGGCTGTTACCATCGCTTCCGACAAATAGGCGACGGCTAAATAGCTCAGATTTTATTGGTTTATGGTAGTAATATTACTTGAGGTTAATATGATATTTTTTTAGGCCATAGCTTCAAGTCTCTATGGATATTCTTGAAGATATGGCAAGTTAAAGCTTAAGTTCTTGTACCTAAGATTATTTTTTATTAAGTTATAACGTTTTGAAATGAAGAGTTTTGTTTTTCATGCTAATTTTGTATATTGAACGCTTTGTCACAAAATACGAAGATGAAAATTTTCATACCAGGTATCGTTATGTTGTTAATGTTTTCAAAGATCGGATGATTCGGCCTTACGTGATCCTATCTTGTTCTCAAACCCAAGGAGAGCTTAGCGCGCGAAAAGTCAAGATCATTGTTTCGAGACAATTAAATATGAAATCGCACACCTCGCACATACACGCGTACAAGCTTAATCATTGCACATTACGATCTTCACCTTTTCATACGTCTCTTTCTTCGGAGCCCCTCGCCACACTCTTCCTGTTAGAGTTAGAAGAATTTTAATTCAACGCTTAGCCTTGACTGATCCCATCTTCGGCTACGCACAGCTGTCGTAGTTTGTTTTTGCGGGGGGAGGCGTCAACCAAACGATAAAAACGTGCTTTATTGACACCTCTGGAAAAAAAGATTTTTACAAAAGAATAGTTTGTTCTTATATTGTATTATGAGATTTTGATTGAACGATTCATAGCTATTTTTATAAAAATTTGTTTTCATTTTCTCACACTGCTTGGATTATATTTCACGTGTGATTGTAAATTAGATCGTCTCATTTGTCTAATTAACAGTTGAAGCTATTGAAATATCAAACAAGTTTTCAATTGACAGAAAGTTGAAAAAAAAAAAAAATTACTTTGTATGTACGTGCCAAAAATCGGAATCCGGACAATGGGAATCATTTATATTCCATAAAGTTCCTGGGATCTGAGGAAAAATTAATGTACTAGCTGATGAATCAGAATAGACAATATGTAATTGCTGTTTCGATGACTCCATCGTAATTTTTACCGAACAATATGTTTTTCTTAATTGCTGGTCGGTACAACAATGAATATTCACACCGGCTCCAATGAAAGCAATCAGGGTATTTAATTACGAATAATACAATCGTAAAGATGATTAGTGATGATGTTTTCCGAATTTTGGGAAATTTAAAAGTATTTTATTTTCTAAAAAAAACAACCCTTCAAAAATTCATTCACTAATTGGTTATCGAGCAGGAGACAGGGCATAGATGTGAAAAAATCTTGTGACTTTTCTCAAATACTGAAAAATGCACTGTAAACTACCATCATTAATCCAAGTCGAATAGAAGTTTCAGAAGTAAAAGAGTTGCTCTTTAATGAGCTTAGCATGCAAATGGCGCGTATTAATGGCTCTTGATTCTAAAAAGCCATTATTTTCGTTCATTCATCATCAGCACGTGGTGTTTATTGAACGAAAAAACCTAATGTCTTTCCTTGTAATTGAAAAATCGGATGATCCCTGGCAGAATGAATCTGTGCAGAATCGGTTTGATAATGTATTTTCCAAATTGGCGTTTTCTCACACGTGTATTGGTGAAAAATCACACAGAGTCACCGGGAAACCCCGAAAAATAAAAAAAAGTATGAGGTGCGATACGATACTTTGTGTACCTATAGATTATTGTAAGAAACACATCGCAAGTCTGGAAAATTGTACGCGCGCAGGCGCCAATCGCGAAGAGCAAAGTTTACGCAATCAGCTCACGGATACTGAGATTCAATGCTATAAAAGCGGTTACTTCAAAAGTCTTCACTCGCAGTTTGTTGTTCGACAGCTTCCTAAGCAGACGCGAATCGAAATAGTGGACAAATATATTTATATATATATATACATAAATTGACTCGAGGTGCAGTGAGAAGAGAAACGAGGAACAGCATCATGTCGTGGTCCGTAATTGCGACCGCGGCGATTGTTTTCGTCGCCGGAGTCACGTGCTCGCCCATCGATGTTACTCCGCCCGCTACTGGCAAGTCAATTTCTATTTTACATAAGTTGGGACTTTTAGACGTACATATTCAAATACTCCATCATATTTTGTTACAACTGATTGGTGCCTTCGGAGTGACAAATAAATTGTGTGAAATCAGTCAACCTTACAGCATAACATAAATTACCATTTTCTTTGTGAGTGATGAATCAGGAGTTCTTTTTTTTTTTTTTCTACATCGTCTTCCTAATTATCATGTCAATTACAATCTTTAGCAGCCACATTCTTCATTAAAATAGTACCTATTACGAACCAAAATGATAATTTATAATTTCTTCTTGAAATAACAAATCAACTAGTAATGTAAAATTTTATGTCAAGAATTATTTCTCGCGTCTTATTCTCGTGATGGTTAATTTTAGGCAAGACTGTGAATCCTTTGTTTTCATCAGATAATTAAGTACAACCACACATAAATCTTTAATTTTTACCGCAAAACAGATCATTAACTTAATGTAAGGTTGGCCGAGTGGTAATCATATGTATGTGTACATGTATGTGTGTAAGTACGTACAAAGCCATGAAAAAAGGAGCTTACGTTTAATTTGACTTGTTAAATTTAGCAACTATTGTCAAAGAATAAAAAAATATATAGCCATTTGTGCTTCAGTTTCAAGAAGACATTAGGTTTGTGTCCAGTTGAGAAAAATCGTAAATAATAAAAAATTACTTTATACATAAACTTTACTTAAAAGATAATTATTTCTGGATGTTTAATCATCACGCACAATTTTTTATACTCTTGAAGAAAAAAAAAAAAAAAAAAAAAAACTGAATAATTTATTTGGTATAAAAGATTTGTAAACGCTAAACTTTATCATTTTGTAGGTGTTACGTACATATTTTTTTTCCAAAAAATAATAAATCAGTCATTCCATAAATGCAAAACCATATAGTTTCTCTTGTAAATTTAGCCATGGCACGTGTTGACTCATTGTTACCACATCTATTTTACTCAAAAAACATTGTTTGGAGACATGTATCTCATATTCGATTTTTCAATAACTACAGAATTGCTGCCACCAAAGGATGACAGCTCGCAAGCAATCGACTTTGACTCGTCAACCCCGGCGACTGATTTGGTAGCACCGGACGTCGACATGGTACCAACGTTGTCTACGGACTTGTTGCCGCCAAAAATCGACAGTGAATCCACGTACGACACGACCGGCGTAGCCTCTGCGACAGCCGACAATCCAGCTGTACCTTCGGTTGACCTGCTACCGCCCGTCCCTCCTAGTTTGGCCTCTGAATTGTCACCGCCTCTTCCTTCGCCGAAAAACAAGCGGCCGGCTACATTGTTTCTGATCAACGTGTTCGCCGTGAAGAATCGCACTGCCGAGGACTCTAATGACGTGCTCCATCCCGTCATCATGCAGGAAGTACCTGACGACGCGACTTCAGGTATCATTGTTATCATTCACTGTTTATTAGATCACGCAAAAAAATACTTTGAAAAATGCTTTATTCTCTCTCAAATCCAGCCCGATTAGTTAGATCAATTAATTTAATACTTGGAAATGCAGGAAAAATCGTTTCGTTGCGGGAACATATTTTATATCTTACAACAAAGCATAAAATTCTAAAATTCACACAATACCGATACAACGATTCGACCGGTTACTAGTCACGATTCACGTAACTTTTGCACTCTGCTCAATCAAATTCAATTAGTTGTGACGCAGGAAATAAAAATGAAAAGTTCTGTGGCATCGGTAGTAGGAAAATTAAAAATGATCGTCACGTCGATCATCGTCGGTGTGCACATAATGCGCAACCATTATAATGAAATTGTACGATTAAATGACGCAGAACCCCTGGCGATGTTCGTGCTCGTTGTCGAGGACGAGGACGAAAACAAACCAGTCAGTTTGGACGAGGTGGCCAAGGATCTCGAAGCCGAGGGCTTCATCATCGAGAAGATCGGTAAGGACGGCATGACCAGTTTGCTCAAAGTCAACCTGGACTCTATCTTGGAGAAGGACGACCTGGACAGCCGCAAGAATACGATCAACAGGGTCAAGAGAGATTTGGCGAGGGAGAGCGAGGGTGAGCCCGAGGCTTCCGGTAAATTGGTGACAGTTCGCACGAAGAGGCACCTCCTTGAAAAGCTCTTGCAGAAGCACGGTGGATATGGCTGTAACGGTGGCTGTGGCGGCGGATACTATCGTGAGTTCAATGCGCATGCGAGTTGTTGATCTTGGGATGTATCTCGTTGACGTTGTTGTTTTTTTTTGTTTTTTGTTTTTTTCTACTTGAAAGAGCTAATCATTTTTCATCTTCTTTCCTCATTCCGTGATAGCCTTCTTGTCTAATGTTGGAGATTATTTCCAAAGACTTGTCAACTTTGATCGAATGTTTTTTTTCCTTGAATAGCGCGTTTTTCCGTAAACAGTAACTTCTTATTTCAACACATTTCCAAAAGTATATAAACTTATTTATTATTTTCCAGTACACTTTTTTTATCATACTTATTAGTTTATGCATAATTTTTTTTTATTTAACACTTCCACACCACAGAGCTTTGTATTGCTCATAAATAAAATTGATACATGACGTGTTTTAAGCATATTTGAAGGTATAAATATTTACGAAAATTTATTTTTACAAGCTTGTGGGTATCAGTACAATTAATAAATTACTATCATTACTTAAATATCCCCCAAGACAATACATTGGCTCTGTCATACTTATTGAATTTTTTTTTTTTTTTTTCTTATCTCAACTGTTTATAAACTTGAAGTTACGTAAAATTTTTTATACCGTATAAAAATTGTGTTACAATCGTTATACGGGTTGAGATCCTGATGATAGTAGTACAAATTTTTAAGGTTAAACATTAGTTGATTAATTTTCATGAAACGTGATATTGAAAAAAAAAATTTTATGAATTAATATTCATTTTTATTCAGTGATCATGACTGAATCAACTTATTTACTCGTAAAGTCATCCATTATAGAGATAATCAACGAGATACAACTTAATGAAAAAAACCATTAAAATAACTATGACAATGATTATTAATATAAAAAATTTTTTTTAGCTCAACCACCAGTGTACTCGCCACCCGTATATGCTCCTCCACCTCCACCACGTCCTCCTCCTCAGCCGTACTGTGATCCATGCCAAAAGTAAGTTCAAGTAATACTAAAAATGATGAAAGAAAAAAATGAGTATGGGGCTTATTAAAATGTGCAATAACGATGAATTTTCTTTTAGTGGATACGGACACGGTGGTAACGGCGGTGGCAACGGTTACGCGTCGGCCCAGGCTACTGCTCATGCTACAGCCACAAGCTACGGAAAATAAGAAGCCATTTTTACGAATAAAAACTACAAGTGCAATTGCCTGCTTTCATAAGAGTGTTAATACTGGGACTGTTAAAGTTTATAGCAGTTTATAATTTTCAATGTTTCTTGTAATCAAGTGAAATGTTTAATTGGGTCCATTGAGCAAGTGTGTACGATGAAAACTAGTTGTAATTCCAGAATACGTGACGCTAACGTGATTTATTTATCTGTTCTCGCAATCCACGTGAATAAAGAATATTTTTTGTATTTAAATCCTTGTTTCTGTTATTAATCATTTAAAGCTCAAATCGTTGTAGCTGAGTTTTATTTGCAAGGGAAATAGATTACATGACTGGGGAAAGATTTTCTACTTTAAAGTTGCTCTTTCAAATGGCACAGTTTAAATGTAAAATATTTGGTATAAAAGATTTGTAAACGCTAAACTTTATCATTTTGTAGGTGTTACGTACATATTTTTTTTCCAAAAAATAATAAATCAGTCATTCCTAATCACGTGTACTTAAAAAAAATGTGCCATAATAAAATTTTTCGTTATTTTAAAATTTTTTTATTGGGGCACCAACAGCTAACTTGACACGATTTAACTTTTAATACAATTATCACCTTGGAAAATGTAAACCCATGAAAAACATGTAAAAAAAAATCTCTTGTTGCCCTGATCCAATATTTTCTTTGATAAAACATTATAATCCAAGATGATCGTAGAATTTTAAGACACTTGTGCATCAAACGGTTAATTAAACATGACAAAAAATCTGCATTGAAAGATTAGTCTCAAGCAAATAAATAAAAGCCTAAGAAAACTGCAATCCAAACGATATCGCCAGAGAAATCACGCGATGCCATATTGGCAATCAATTATTGGACAACAAGCACGAACCACTACTCGTCCTGTCAACGCACTCCAAAGACATTTCTATGCACACCACATGCATACACGTGCCCACTTAGTTTCAAAGTCAGAAGTGCAGAGGATAGCCTCTTTTGAGATGAGGAAAAAAAGAATGTAAAACCCAGCTGTCTGCGGTTTTTCGCTGCAGACACGGCCACGTACTGTACAAATGCTTTTGCTATCTCTGTAAAGTGCCGGCAATTACAGCTGCTCTCTCTCTCTCTCTCTCTCTCTCTTGCTGTAAAGATGTACACGCACTAACGGTTTTTCTCATCCTTTCTGCTCGAGCTTATTATTTCCTTTAAGAATTTTTAGTCCCCAGCTCGGGAGAACAAGATAGAAGGGAGGAGGATTCCTCGCGTGTGTTTCAACGACGGGCTACAGGCGTAAGACACGAGTAAAATTATCCTCCTCTCTTTTTCGGCGCGCTCGGCTTCAAATTAACGGAGCCGTTAAAGTCGCTAAAGTGTGCCGAGATATATGGATCTCGTTGTAACGCACAATTTATGCCTTTTTCACGGACGCTCAGCTGCTGCCGTAAAGGAATGACTATGCTTTTTTTTTTTTTTTTTTTTTTTTTTTTGCCTGAAGAATCGGATTACCTTGTACAATGGTATCGAGAAATGTGTGGGCTCTGGTATCAGCAGCAGTTGGAATTTTTTCATGGCCTATTAAGCAAAATTTTAAATGCGTCTACAAACCGGCGTGTTATCTAATTCGAGATGCAGAAAATGCTAATGCGGAAAAGCACGTGGAGAGTATATACACGTATACACAAATTCTAGATCAAATCCGAGATCTAATCTCGTTTATGGCTCGAGTGCATACATTTTTTGCATAATCGTGCACAAGGCAAGCTTTTGCAAGTAGCGTTTACATAACTTTCGATCGCGAGCTTGCGTTTATTTTTCTCGGGATTCCCTCGGAGATGGACGTAAAATGAAATAAAAAATAAATAAACAAAAGTTGGAAATTATCCGCTGGTGCATGCAATTTTATTCTCTCTTCCGCCATCTCTCGTACTGCACGTGCGTATAGAAGCAGCAAGTGACAGTTGAAACGGAAGGATCCGAGAAAGTTGGCGCAAGCAGTCTCGTAAAGAGTCGATCGCAGAGTAGTGCTCGCCTCAGGAAGAGTATGTGTATGTGCACACGTGCAGTGAGCGAGTGTAGGTCTCGGCCGATAATCTGGGTTTGCGGGTCGTCGGCTCTTTCACTTGTATACTTATATGAGTGCATTTTTTTTTTTTTTTTTTTTTTCACAACAGTAAAGCAAATCGTGCAATGTTTATGGAAACACTTTTCAAATATTAATATTAAGTATACCCTGAATACAGTGTATGAATACACTACAAAGGTAAATTGAAATAATTATCAAAAATGGATGGTGGCGTACAGTTATACGCACGACCCAGTGAACTGTTATATCGTAGTTAAATTCCATTTAGAAGCACGTACTCTTCAAAACGATGAAAGTAAAAGTTGATCCCTAGCAAGGAGGAACTTAAATTTTATAAGTATTTAAAGAAAAAAATAAAAATAAAAATAAAGGAAAAAAGAAAAAAATTAACTAAACAAGGTAGAGCAGATTTACAACGAAAACATGGAAAAGAGGAAGAAAGAAAATAAGTTGCCGATCAACCAAATCCAATTTAAAGTGCTTTCGTTCACTTTCGTTCTCCCGTCGAAACGTTTGAACATCAATTACAAATTATTGCAAGATTCAAAAAAACTATAGCGTTCTATAGATGCCACAAGTTTAAGACTACAGTATGAGCTCTAGACTGCCAACTATACAACAGTTTGTAGTTTCTCCCCCTCATCGATTTGTCTAGGGCTTCAGATGTAACAAGACGGTCCACAGAGCACAGGATGTCAGCAAAAAAATCCTCCGAAAATCTAATCAGAACGGGATCGACAGGAAAACTTTTTCAATTTTAAAGTTAAAAACTTTACCAATTTCAAACAAATTCAAACTGAATAAAAAAACTTTTTTCCAGCTTTTTAGGTGGTCCCTCGCATGCGCAGGGAAAAGGAATCCAAAGTTTTGTGGAACACGATGCCCGACGAATTTTTTTTCTCGTGTAAGTGCCCAGAACTGCGACAAATGTAACGTTTCAACAGTCCATTGAAAGTATCTATTGAAGACACAAATCAAGTCTTGCGGGAGCTATTACTTTTTGTGCTTATACATTTTTTAATTACATGAATGTAATCATGTGCTAAATTAGAATTTGAACACGTGTATTTTGTTTCAACGATTAATTTAGTTCCAACGTTGATTCGACATACTTTGTATGGTCTAACGGTAGCGCTGTCACTGCATGCCGAGAGTCTGCCCCATCGAAGCACCGAATCCGCCGTTGCACCTAGTTGCGAGTGTAGGTCTCGGTCAACTTGGCCGATAATCGGTCGTTGGCTCTCTCACTTGGGTACACTTATACGCACGAGAGTCCACATACAACGTTGCGTGATGTGCAAGTATGTTTCGCCCGAGGCAGTGTCGGGGCTTTCGAGGACAGACGATTATCTTTGCCAGATGAATGGAACACTATTATTATTATTATAATTATTTTTGTTGTTTTTATTTCTGTTGCGGAGAAGCAGGTGAATCAGGTCTTGCGATGCACGAGGAAATGTCGTCTCTTCTTCGAGGAACTAAACACTTTGATGATGCCTCAGAGAAAATTCTAATGTCATTGAGGTACGTATAATTTGTGATTTCTGGTACGAAGAGATTTTTCAAAGACGTGTTTTACAGTGGTTCCAAATTGTTTGAGTGTGTGACAAATTTCAAATTTTTATAAGAAAGCCATGTAGTCCACTGGAAGTTCGGTCAATTGACTTGTTACATAATTGTGGGTAACTTGAAATTATTTTGATGGATTCTTCAAGTCTTTTGTCTCGTACGTCCAGGATTTTGCAACCACTAAATTTTCTTCTAATCAAGTGTACAATGGTCAAATTTTTTTTTTGTAGATCGATCATGTTATTAAATAAATAAATTTTATGATGCTATAATAATTGCATTGTTTCATTATCATTTAATTCATACCTACTAATGAAAATGAAAACAATAAAGAGCAACATATCAAAGTTAATTTATTCACTACTCGTTGTTTTTCACTGTACGATTATTTTTCCATGTAATCAAAAAAATATTTCAAGCCATTATACCATTTATTAAGAGGAGAAAATGATTAACCACAACATAATAATTTACAATCGTTGCTCAATACCTTGCACACGCATCATTGTCCATCAAAGTCCTGAACAATCGAGATAACACCTTTACTGCCAATCAAAAGATTCTAATCAAAATTTTAATGAGACTTAAAAAATCCTATAACCAGTAATAAAATCAAGCGGGATAATTCAACGTCATTTCTACATACGTCAAAGAAAAAAGTCTTGAAAATGACAGTCACCAATGGCCATAAGTCTCTCACTCGGTGTAAGACTACCTCATAGAAATCGGCAAATGAGTCACTTACTCTTTTGCACTTGCGAATACGAATCTTGATTGTAAACAAGGAGCTACCAACTCGTCAACTGTAATGTTTGATACAGTCACGTAGGTAATATTTTTCGTTGGTGCTGGGGTTCTTTCCAGGATATCAGTATATCGCGAAATTTAATTCATGATGTCACTCACACGTTATAAGAAATGGGACAAAAGTGATGTAAAATGGTATATGAACGCATTAATGTTTTGATAAGACTTTAACGATGCATCAATACAGTCTGGATTATAAAACCCCATACATGAATAGCAGCACCTCGAATGAAAAAGGCACAGAAGAAATGAAAACGGACGGTAACTGTAAAGCTGTCTGTCGCACGGGATGTTACAGATCCAACACGAATATCAGCAATGCTGTTTTCCTCTTTTCTACCGCACAGACTTGCAACAATGAAAAATGCCCAACCGTGTGAGGGGAGGGGGGGAACAGAGCACTCCGTTGAATAATTCAAAAGCGCAATATAGTGCAGGTATAGTATCGACAGCAAGTCAGTTAATTTCCAACAACTCTCTGCCACGTATATAATGGATTTTCTTGGACACGAGCACGTATACCAACACGTGTATATCCGAGAACGAAGAATAAGTGGCTTCGATTAATAGAGGCGGGGTTTTTTTTTTTTTTTTTTTGAGCGAGCCTCTTTGTTCACCTCTCTTTCTGTCTCTCTCATTACGAGAGGTAATGGTGCAAAATATCGGTAGCAGCGCCCGTAGAGCCTACCACTGCTGGTGCTGATGATGATGATGATGATGGCAATTGGATCTAGACCGACGGTCGAGAACCGGTTTTGCGGTTAGCAGCCGGTCCCGATTGATGCCGCCCCTCGCGCTGTCATTT